AATGAAAGTTTTGCACACATACTATGGGGGGTAGGGGGTAAAGAAAAAACAAACTTAGAAGCACTTTCAATAAAATCTTGTGTTTAATTTCAGGATATTCATAGCCTATCTAGACCCCAAATTAACAACTCCTATTTAAAAGGAAAATTTTTGTAGCTTAATAAAAGCAGATAACCTTGCAAAGCAAAAATCTTGAGAGGTAAGGAAAGACAACAGATTGTCTCTAAGAGGGTAGTTTTCACCATAAAGTTTCATTTTGTTAACAATTGTTAATTCTAGATGGTGGGAATGTGGGTATATGTATCGGTACTTTCTGTATTTTTTTTTTCAATGTGTTTTTTAGAACAAGAAAAGAAAAGAAAAGCCTGGATGGCCAACTTGTTTTCAATGGTTGCTCTACTCAAAAAGTATCTTCTCCTATACCATCTGAATTTGTTTTAACATCTGAAATGCCAACATCAGAGATGCTGCACCCAACATCATACAGCATAACAAAGCATGAAAATGAGTGAGTGAATCAACAGGGTCCAACTCAAACAGATTAGGCCCTACCTGCAGCAGATTAGGCCCTACTTTAGCACTTATTAGCATGCGACCCTGATGAAGTTGCCTAAAATCCTTCTAAGCCAGTATCTCTGCCATTAAAATGAATATCCCATCAAGATTTATGTACTTCCGAAACATAACACACTTTATTCAGGATTTACTTTCACTCTCATACCTCCCTAAGTCTGTATTTAATCACTGACACATTTTAAAATCAATGTGTCTCAAAACAGTTTTGCTCACCGAGTACAGCAAAATGCCTAGCATACAGTAGGCACTCCAAATATTTATTGAATAATTAACAAATACGACACCTCCTTCATGGGGATATGATGAAAGTAAAATGAGAATACATGAAAATACTTATTTTTCATAACAAAGCCACAAGGTAGAATCTACTATTATCACCATTTACAAATGTAGAAAGTGAGATGGAGAGGTTTAGTAAGTCGCCCAAGATCACAAAGCTAGTGAGTGATGGATTAAGGATTTGAATCCAAGTTCCAGTTGATACTGTTATGTGGGACCTGACACACGAGTAGGCACCAAATGAGTAATAGTTCTTATTTCGCTTTTAAAATATAACAATACATCCAGGAGGCTTAGGGTACTCATCAGATATTCAACAATCAGTGTCTATTAGTTTAACTGGCATTCCCTCTAAAACCTTCAGAAGATCACCATCACTAGGAAGAAGTAATTAAGTAACCAAAAGATGTTGAAATCCAAACTTTAGCTATTCAGCAACACTGGACCTAGGAAAGAAAAAACTGTTCCTTCTCTTGATCTCCTAAATGAATTCTGGGTCCTCCCTAAGTACTAGTTATTCACTGAAAATAAATTTTTTTTTCATCAAGTACAGTACTGAAGCAGAATAAGAGACAAGATAATTATGACATAACTATTGCTTCAAAGATTTTAACATCTACTTTACAAATAATTGACTAATTAATTAAGATATGAAACTGGGAAACAAGTAAGCTTCTCTGGGCTAATATGAGATTCTACCATTACAACAGAGGAACTCAGATGCCATTTTTCCACTAAAAAGCACACTAACAAATTAAGATTTTGAAATAAACTTGAGGGAACACAATCTACTTCTGAAAACTTTTTCTTTCCCCTCATTCTCAACTCTACCTCCTTCATGTCTTTAAGCAGATTTTCCCTGGCCTTGCAAATCCTGTCAAAAGTAAATGAATAATTCAGTACTAATTTCTTTACTGGCTCACCCCAGGAGCCAATAAATTTCACTAGGTTTGTCTCTTAAATTTAAAGCTTCAAGTTACCTACCAAAAATAGATGGAATTCTGATCAATTCCTATTGTATTTACATTTTATGCTCCTTTAACAAATATGTTACTTTTGAGTAATAGCAAGTTTTTCCTCCTATGAATTCTGCTTTAGCAACACTGATGCCCTTCAATTACATTTAAAAATGCACTGAATAGAATGTAACATTATTTCTGAAATGAAGCATCAATTCCTGCAATTTCAACATTTTTTTCTTATAATATTTGAGTAAGCAATTTGTTAATGTAGTCCACTAATTTGAAAAGAAGCGCATCAAGGTTTTTATGTTAGGGAATATATTTCTGTCTGTATTGGTCAGTCACCCACTGAAAGACAAGAAAAATACGTATTTTACAATTACTGATCAAAGGTTTCTGTCATATTGTGGTGCCCTTGGTCTTATACTTTTGTTTCTAGGTATATCTGAAGTTACTCAAATTACCTAACACATGATTATCTTATTCTGAAACACTGAAAAGAAAATACAATTCTTAACCTACTTTAATATTTAATAAGAATTAGATTCTTGTTCAACAAACAGAGCTCTTATTTAAAATGAATCTCCTTTCCTTCCAACTCCTCTTTCAGCAGATACAGAGAATATCCAGCTAGCATTTCTTCATAGCAAATGCATGTATTTTTGTTAAATTATCCTCTACCTTTACATGTCAAATACCTCAAACCTATAACATTTCATATTCCTTTTTAACCTTGTAGTGATTTTTACTGGAAGAATAAACTCAAGGATCACATTATCCACATTTTTCATTGCACAGCCAATAAGCGAATGAATGAGAAAAAGGACTTATATACAATGAGTATTAGCCACAAGATTTTCTCGCTGTAGAAAGCTAAAATTCTGCTGACATGTCAATAAAATGGTAATGAAATGAAAAACACTGCAAAACTCAACCATTTAGTTTATAATGTACAGTGACGGTGAGGTTTACTAATTATTTTGGTCAAGGATGGAGGCAGGTGCAGAGATACAGTACTTTCTGTCTGCTTATCCGTCATGATGTACCTACCTATAGAGGTTAAGTTTTAATGGTTGTGCTTTCTCACACTTATTTCTCCTGACTCACCTTCATAACGAATGACAAACCCACTGTTTATACAAGTGTGCACAATATAGAATAAAGCATATTGAAAACAAAGAAACATTCCCCTAGTTGATCAAAGTCAACTATACCATTCCTGCACTCCAAGGAAAACAAACCTGACACACAAAATTATGCCTACCAACTAAAGGCTATTCTACGTGATTTAAGAAATTACTAGAAGTTTTGCTTATTTGACCAAATTCCAATGGATAAAACTGCCTAGGTATGTGAAGTTTATAGCATAACACTCCAGTAATACATTCAATGTGATATTGAGGGCAATTTTTAGCCTATGTTTTGAAAGAGGTCAGGAGCAGGATACAAGGAAATAAATTTTATGAAAAGTGTACTGGTCTGAACCATTAGAAAACTTTGATACCTACTTTTGCTACTAATAATACACCACAACCAGTCTCTTTTCTAAGCCTTGTTTTCCTCATTTTTAAAATAAAAGGGCTGGACTACAGTATCTCTAAAATGTTTCTACTATCTGTGAAGAATCATACAACTAAGCAATTCTAAGGAGATAGATTTTATTGGGAATAAAGATCCTGTCATATCCTTCTCTTCATTGTTCCAAATGCAATCTGAGCAACACACTATTCTGAAACACCCAACTAGGACAATACAAAATCTATCAATGCAAGCCTATCCTTACAATTCAATAGGCCAATGGAACAGCAGGTAGTGTCCATCTTTTTGGCATGTATACTTCAACTATTACATCTCATTACTTCAACTATTACGTAACTTCATCCAGTCTGAGATTAAAAAGAATCTAGTCTTCTACCAATGGAGTCTCAAATTCTTTAAAAGATATTTCTTTGTTTGAACAGAACACAAGATTTAATAATTCAATTTTCAAAAACAACCAGCCATGTACCAAGATAAGCTCTATGTTTGTGGATGAGAACAAATGACAAGTGGTACTTCTGGATAATTCAGTTGTTCTCTCTTGTAAGTAAATTTATAATCAGCCTTTAAAGCTGCTTTCCTGATACTGCCTTAAGTTACAACTTCTTTCTCCAGATTAAGGTTTCCTAGTTTCCATAGCAGAGAGGGGATAAGAGCTATAACTAATAAGGCTAGCTCTTAGTTTGTTATTAGTATGACACCTTCCACCAAGCTTTTGGGTTATGGCCTTTGAATAAGGCCCTGCAACGCCGCCTGTCTGTGGACCCAGGAAAAATTATAAACAGTTATTACGAAACCAGATCACTAGAACAAACCAAGAGGCCTTCCTATTCCAACTCACAATCAAACCCAGGTCCAAAGCCGATTCTTTAGCTGCTCCGTATTATCTCAAAAACAGGACCTAACTTAACTCCTCCTTACTAAGGAACCATTTTAAGATGTGTATGTACGCACATGTAAGGTTCAAATATATTTTCAGTCACTGAAATAGTTATCTACAAATGTATACGGATGTAAGATCAGTTCATCCAAAAATCCCTGAGAGATGGAGGAAGTGAAGGTTACTTCAGCAACCACAATAGTTATGAAAAAAACCTGCGGCAGAACAGTATGGAAAAGTACAGCTTCTCACGTGTCCCTCACAGACACAAATACTTAGCTCTGAAGCCATTACAACCTTAACTCCCTGCAAAACTGCTCCCCTCCACCGCACAACCGGGAGAAATTAACCAGCCTCCTAGTAGTTCCCCAAGAGGCTCATCTACCTATTAACTTACCCCTCCCGCTTTGGTCCCGCGCCCGCCCCAGGAATAACATAGCCTTGCTGACCCCAGGCGGACCCCGCCGGTGTGCAAATAGGTAATCTAACCAGTTCCCTCCATCCTTAACCATGTGAACCATCCCAAGGCAACATGCTGCTCACCAACCCGACTCTGCGGTCCTCCCATCCCATCCCCACGTGTCAGCTACCCTCCCCCACAGCCCCACACCTCACGGGTTAGGCCGGGAAAGAAAGAGGGCAGTGGAAAGCCTGGCCCCTAAGAGGGCGCGACCTGCAGGAATGAGTCCCACCGCAAGCCCCTTCCCACCTTCCCACCCTTTACAGACCCCTCCGCCCGCCTTCCTCTGAAACCAGGCCCTTGCCTCAGAAACCTCCTCCTCCTCGTCGTCGTCGTCCTCCTCTTCCTCGCTGTTGTTGCTGCTCGTGCCGCCGCCGCCGCCACTGTTGTCGCTGTCGCTGCTGCTTTCGCTGCTGCTGGGGGGTCGGCAAGTCCGGTTACGCTTGGCCTTGTGGTGTTGCTGCTGCGGCGGCTTCTTCTTCAGGAGCAGGTCGCAGACGCGCACCATCCCACGAGGAGACGAGGCCGAGCGAGCCCCGCTGCCGTCGCCGACCTCCGCCGCCGCCGCCGCCGCGGGGGGGCCCGCAATAGCCGCCACCGCCGGGGGGCTCCCTTCTCCCTCAGCTGCCGCCGCCACAGCCGCCACCGGAACCGTGGCCTTCTCCATCCCCAGGGAAGGAGGGAGGGCGCGGACGGGGGAGGGGCGTGGGGATTCCGCGCTACCGCGACTTCGGCCGCACCGGGGCCGCACAGCGCTCGGTGCCGCCTCCGCCGCCACCGCCTCGGTCACCTCTACTGCCGCCGCCGCCGCCGCCGCTCCGCCAGCTCTCACTTCGTCTCGCGATACTAAGGGCGGGGAGCCTGACGGTAGGAGGAAGAGGGAGGGAGCGTGAGGGAGCAAGGTCGAGGGTGGGGGAGGCGCAGAGGGAGACCCGGGTGTCGGGAGACCCAGCGGAGAGGAGACCGTGAGGAGACGTGGGGGGTGTGCCTGGGGCGGATTCCGATGAGGGGACGGCGGGGACAGAAGGGCCGCGGTGACTGCCGTGGCGCCCGCGAGCACCGGGATTTCTTCTTTTCTTGCTATTTGCCCCACACACAGCCCTTCAGAACGCTCTTCTTCCTTCCTCGCTTGTAACTAGAACGCAGTCGCAGGCGGAAGTGCAGGTGACGCCATCAGCCGTCGCCCGAGCGGTGGCGCGCGGGTGGCCAAAAGACGAAAATAAGATTTCTAGGGCTGGATTCCGGGCCTCCGCGGGAGGGCATGCTGGAGAGGAGCGGCCCCGGGTCGGGTGGGAAGCTGGGGCGGAAACGCGGCCCAGTCGCTGTTAGCTGGACGCCGGGGCCGCAGATCCCGGAGGTGGGGCCTCATTGTCGAGTGAAGTACGTAGTGTTCCCTCCTGGCCTTATTTTCCGCCGCCAAATCGTGAGTTAGAGTTTGGAATCATGAGAGATGGCGTCGTATGAGGGAAAGAGCCTCTTTTGGCTTCTTTGAGTTTTGAGGGAAAGACTTCCCGAGTCTACCTGTGCAATATGAATGAGTTTGATTAGGTGATGTCTTAGATAACAACTCTAGTTTCCAAAGGGAACGCAGGAGAAGGAAGCAGCATCTGTGCCAGACTTTGCGGACAATACACTGAATGACCCTGATCTAGTTCTTCCACCTCTCACCAATTTACCTTTTGTCTGTGAAGTGAACATCATAAGTAATCATCCTTGTCTATCCAGCCTTAGAATGAATAATTTGATGGGGGTGAGTTCATTTGTAGGTATCTGAAGAACTTTTAGGACTTTTGAAATAATAGTGTAGTTTTGTTAATTAAGAATTATCCCTTCCTGGTCCAATAGTACAGTGGCGTAAGGAAAATGAAGCAAACATCAAAGACAGATGTACTGGCACAAGATAAAAAGTAGGCCTCAGCTGATATACTTGCCATTTTAAAACTGCTAAGTTTAGCTGAATGTGCCTGAATTTTTTTTTAGCATTTTAGTTTCTTTTTAGCATTGGCATACCATATGAAATGTGGGCAGTTGCCAATACTCTGCAGAGTACTATGGCAGAATTGGTAATGACTGAATCAGTTCATTCAAGCAAAATTTCATCATGAGCCTACTGTGTGCATAGTTAATGAAATCAGTCTGCTTCCAAGGACTTTTAAGGTTTAATAAGTATGTAAGATAAAAGTATGCTCACAAAGTACTAATCATCTGCCCGTTCCTCTCCTAGTTGTTACTGAGCTCCTGTGCCGGACAGTACACTACATTGTGTATCTTACAACTGCATATTTAGGTTCTATAACTTCAGCTGGATTCTTCCCTCCTACTTTGTATATCCATCAACATTCTTCCTTCCTATCAATAGAATACTTTTTGCGGTCTTTAAATCCCAGCTCATTTCATTACATGCTTTTACTTCAAATGTCACAAGAGGTAGATGTTATTAGGCACAAAGTTCAATTTTCCAAATGCTAGAAACTTAGATGCTTCCAAATTTTTCCTTTTCTCTGGTATCAGAGGAATAAGACACTCCCTGCATCTTATAAGATGAATTATCCACCTGTACTCTAGTCCCAGTCCCCTCTTTCTCATTCATTTATTATCTTTTGTCTTCAATCCTCCACATTTCTGGTTCCACTCTTTCCTTATTTACAACAAGGCTATAAAGAGTTCTACATTTGATGTCTCTTTTTGTTATCTGAATTTCATTAACCGTCTACAGTCTAACTTATGTACCTGTCACACTACCAAAAATTCTTTAAAAGTAATCCCATTATTTAGAAGAAAATGAGTTCTTACTCTTTTATAGAGTGGTGAAATGATTATATTGTTAGGGCTAGTTTTATAAGGTCAAACCTCTTAGAATGGAAAGTCCCTGCAGTCACTTTCTATTATTTTTAATCTAACTTTTTTTTTTTTTCCTTTTAGAACTGGTGGCAAAGACTTCACTAGGCATTCATGAAACTTGATTTCTGGATATATAGCTAGACCAAATTTCCCAATTTCCTTTGCACTTAGTTGTAGCCATGTGATTGACTTTTAACCAATAAAATGTGAATGGAAATGGTGTGCTCATTTTCAGGTATAATGAAGTTCTCCCATCCTCCCTTACTCTTTTTCCATCAGTTTGAAGCTGGCAAGTATGGTGACCTTGAAAACTGTATGTTGGAGATGCCAGAGCCAGAAAAGAGGAGCACAAGTGACTAAATCACTACTTGAAAAAGAGCCACCTCCAAATTAGAAACACTCCTTTTTGGATTTTTTATAAGAGAGGATATTGAAATTTGAGTATTTATATGTAATAGGAGCTAGAACAACCGTAACTAATCCAGAAATTGGTACCAGAAGAGGGGTACAGCTAAGACAGTAACCTAAATAATGTTGTATTGGCACAGTGATGATGCAGCAGATGTTGGAGAAACTGATGTAGGAGGCTGGAAGAAGGATATCCATGTTCTGCAGTGGCAAAATAATTGGGAAAACTTGCCCATAAGAATTGAAAACTGTATCACCTATCAATTAATACTGTAGCTTCAGAAAAAATAGTTCAAAAGAATAAAATTAGTGTATATTGAATTTTACTTTCAGTGAAGTTTTACTAAAGAAATAAGCTCAGGAAATAACTGCAGTAAATGAAAGTACATAGGAATATTTGGAAGGATTGGAAAAGCCGACTCTCTAGACCTTGAACAGTAAAAAGTGAAACTGGAAGAGCCCTTGAGTAGAGTTCCCTTAAGATTGAGCCCTGAAACAAAGATCAGATCAAGGCTTTGACCTTCCCACCCAAGGTCTTTATTTCAGATGGCCTCCAAGTGGCTGGATGAAGTTCTGGAGAATTCGACACAGAGGCAAAGAAGTGAAGAAGTAAACCTAGTTTTGAGAACTATGCAAGAAAGAACTTTGGATGCAGTTACTGGAAGCAAATAAGACTAAATTTTTAAAGGAATTTTATTGCTAATTAGATCATGAACCTGGTTTAAATATTGTCTAAGTGTTAAAACAATGAGGCAACTGTTCAACCCCAAACTTGCATAAATAGGAAGTAGGCTATAAATGCTTTACATCTCTCTAATACTCACATAGGATTTGGCTCAGAGGCTGGTATCAGGGTTTACAGAACACAGGGCAAGAAAGTTCCTCCTAAAGACTAGATTGGGGGTCTCATCAAAACTTCCTCCATTCTTGGGATAATACGGATCAGAAAATGCCTGCACAGTGTTTCATCATTATGTATCCATATTGCCTAGCATCTCACATTTTTCTTTTTTCCTTATGAGTGCATATTATAATTACCTGTCCCTGATCTACCACTATACATTAGGTTTGCTGGGACATGGGAAAATATTAGAGATAGCCTGCCCTTTTAGTTCATAGGTTGCATCTAGATCTAATGATGAGGAATGCACATTACTTAAAAACCTAGAACTGAAGCCTGACCTAATGACTGGATAGAGCTCTAGGTTTTCTCCTTTGGGGCACTATGTGTTCTATGTGTGGGAAGAGAGTTAAAATAGATATTTACTGATCAGAGTAGTGGACTCTTTTTCTGAGCACATGGATTGTATTTCCCACCTCCCTTGCTGTTAGGCTTCTCAGTTAGATGTACTAAAATTCTAACTAGTGGAATGTGAGAAGAAGTAATATGTTCCTGTTGCAGCTCTGCTCCATAAAAACATCACATAAAATGTCCTCCAAGATACCCCATTCCCCATCAACTTGAGGCAGATGTTTTTAAAGATGTATTGGAAGCCATGCATTAAAGATGGGGAAGTCACAAGGTAGAATGTCTCTGGTTTCTGAATCTTCACTTGGAGGATAGCTCCCTATTAGGAAAACTTGTGTTGGAATTCATATGCATTCTTTTGTGCTAAACAAGTGAGATTTGAGAGTTTATCCCAACTAATAATAGATGTCCCCTTCTTTCCCTAGGTACAACCATCCATTACCCAGTCCTAATTCTCATACCACAGGCATAGGCCCATGAATCAGGCCAGCCAAACTACCTTTATTTTACAGTCATAATGATTGGTTCAGGAATGGGCAGGCTAACAAGGTGAAGCCAGTCAGAGAGAGTCTCACCATTGGCTGGCACTATTGAGAAAGAGGCACCTCACTCTGGAATTGAGTAAAAAAAAAACCACCCATGGTCTTTGGTCACCATGTAGAGTGAACCTGCCTGAGAATGAAATCATTACAAAAAATGGAAGCAGTCTCTGGTATTGCAGGAGGGGGAAAGAGACCATGATTTAAAACATTTCCTGGCTGTCTCTGCAGGGTTGAAAACCCAAGGGCAAGGTGTAGGTACTACCAGGAAGACTTTGGAGTCAAAAACATGGAGCTTGTGGCTTGTGCCATGTTTCCCACCTGGAAGTTTGCCCAACACAGGCAACGACAATCAAGTAGACATGGCAGCATAATGTGTTTAAGCAGGGAGGATCAAACAGAATCAGTAACCACTCCCATGCCTGCATTTTCCTTGACTATGGTGAACTGAAAAGGAGATAATAGAATTCTTTAAGAGGTAGCTTCACAGAGCCCAATTCCTTTCCACAGGCCTGCTTCAGTATAGGGTAATGAAAGCTCATGGCAGAGGCTGTGTGGTGTGAATACTTGGGTTGGATAGATGATCCATTTGAGATGACACGTCAGTTCTTGGGTAAGGGCAGAGGTAAAACAATTTCACTTTGGGAATAAATTGCAAGTTTTATCAACAATTGACCTTTCAACAACAAATTTAGACAGCCAGCAGGCCAGATGTGCCATGTCCCTCTGCCTGATGCATAATGGTGAAGAATTTATCTCCAGCAACTGGCTAAAATACTCAAGAATGAGAACAGCCTAATAATAACTTAAGCTAAATTCCCTAAACTTGAGTTTAAAGTTGATGTGAAATTCAAAATGGACTGTTAAACTGGAAGAGAATAAGAAATCTCAAAAACAGCAAGATTTAGGTGTTCATTCCTGACAAGTATATTAAGTAGAATGGCTATCAACAAATGACACACCCTGAAACATAAAACTAGTGAGTCTAGGTGGGATGCACAGTAAGGATTCATTAGCCCTGGCTAGGAGGTTTGGCAATACTTACTATGTTGTAGCTGGCAATTATCTTGTTGAATTTGAGGTCTTAAATAATTAATATAGTTCTTTATCAAGACTGAAATTTTATAAGACTTGATAGAAAAATGTCAAGATTTTGGAATGGGTCCATTAGTGAGGTCTTACAAGAAAAGGATGCATTCAGTTCAAGCTAGCTACCTGAATGCATTAGAGAATATATGTCTAAGACATCCCTTTCTGCATGTACTCAGTAATCCACATGGCTGAGGATCAAATAAACCTGCATCTTGCAGGTTTGGAAAACAAATATTCTCTGTTTTGAGCTAAAGTTAGTGCAAACAAAGGTAGGAGGTTGGACACACAGTAAAAGACATAATTGGAACCCTGGAAAAAGCCTATAATCACTGATCACCTTATGTTCATCACAAGCTAATTAGGGTGTTCTTAGCCTCCTTGTTAAGTACGTACCACTATCAAATAAAATTAATCTTTATTATGCTGTACCATGAAGAACTACATCCACATCTGACAGAAAGAAATGCACACCGTCCAGAACTCTTGGTTTTAAGCAAGATGCAATAATTGGATGAGATATTAGCATGTCTCCCATTGGGGAAGAGGTTCTATTCATTTGCAATTAATCATATGCATTCTTTTGTGCTAAACAAGTGAGATTTGAGAGTTTATCCCAACTAATAATAGATGTCCCCTTCTTTCCCTAGGTACAACCATCCATTACCCAGTCCTAATTCTCATACCACAGGCATAGGCCCATGAATCAGGCCAGCCAAACTACCTTTATTTTACAGTCATAATGATTGGTTCAGGAATGGGCAGGCTAACAAGGTGAAGCCAGTCAGAGAGAGTCTCACCATTGGCTGGCACTATTGAGAAAGAGGCACCTCACTCTGGAATTGAGTAAAAAAAAAACCACCCATGGTCTTTGGTCACCATGTAGAGTGAACCTGCCTGAGAATGAAATCATTACAAAAAATGGAAGCAGTCTCTGGTATTGCAGGAGGGGGAAAGAGACCATGATTTAAAACATTTCCTGGCTGTCTCTGCAGGGTTGAAAACCCAAGGGCAAGGTGTAGGTACTACCAGGAAGACTTTGGAGTCAAAAACATGGAGCTTGTGGCTTGTGCCATGTTTCCCACCTGGAAGTTTGCCCAACACAGGCAACGACAATCAAGTAGACATGGCAGCATAATGTGTTTAAGCAGGGAGGATCAAACAGAATCAGTAACCACTCCCATGCCTGCATTTTCCTTGACTATGGTGAACTGAAAAGGAGATAATAGAATTCTTTAAGAGGTAGCTTCACAGAGCCCAATTCCTTTCCACAGGCCTGCTTCAGTATAGGGTAATGAAAGCTCATGGCAGAGGCTGTGTGGTGTGAATACTTGGGTTGGATAGATGATCCATTTGAGATGACACGTCAGTTCTTGGGTAAGGGCAGAGGTAAAACAATTTCACTTTGGGAATAAATTGCAAGTTTTATCAACAATTGACCTTTCAACAACAAATTTAGACAGCCAGCAGGCCAGATGTGCCATGTCCCTCTGCCTGATGCATAATGGTGAAGAATTTATCTCCAGCAACTGGCTAAAATACTCAAGAATGAGAACAGCCTAATAATAACTTAAGCTAAATTCCCTAAACTTGAGTTTAAAGTTGATGTGAAATTCAAAATGGACTGTTAAACTGGAAGAGAATAAGAAATCTCAAAAACAGCAAGATTTAGGTGTTCATTCCTGACAAGTATATTAAGTAGAATGGCTATCAACAAATGACACACCCTGAAACATAAAACTAGTGAGTCTAGGTGGGATGCACAGTAAGGATTCATTAGCCCTGGCTAGGAGGTTTGGCAATACTTACTATGTTGTAGCTGGCAATTATCTTGTTGAATTTGAGGTCTTAAATAATTAATATAGTTCTTTATCAAGACTGAAATTTTATAAGACTTGATAGAAAAATGTCAAGATTTTGGAATGGGTCCAT